AGTAAGAAATCATCCAGGTAGTGTATAACTGTAGGGCATCTGGCTACATTTAATAATAACCAGCATGTTTCGGCGAATACGTCGAAAATGGCCGGACTACTTTTTGAACCAAACGTTAGGCGTGAGAAAAAGTAGTAGTGCCCGGCCCACTTAATGCCATGCAGGTGCCATAGTGTAGGGTGGATAGGCAATAATTTGAAGGCATTTGTAATGTCAGTCTTGCTGAGCCATGCTCCGACCCCTGCCTGCATGATAGCTGTAATGGCGTGATCTATGGTGGAGTATTGAAGTGAAAATTCCTCAGAGGGGATAAGGGAATTCAGACTAGGTGAGGCAGAGGTGTGAGGTGCAGACAGATCGATGATAAGTCTTTATTTGTGGGAAGATTTCCCTGTGACAATACCAATGGGGTTTGTCCGCCATGAGGAAAAAGGAGGGGACTGAAAGGGTCCCAATAGGAAGCCCTCTGCCACTTCTTTGGCTATGAGTGTGCTAACCGCTGTAGGGTTTTGTTGTGCAGATTGTAAATTAGGACATTCAAGGATTCCTGAAGGCATGTGTATGAGACCAGTATGGAATCCTTGTGATAGACCAGTGATGATGAAGTCTACCAAATGTCTAGATGGATGTTGTGACAGTAATGCCGTGAGTACAGAAATATTTATCTCAGTTAAGTATTGCTTAGGGTACATTTTATTTGGACACATGGTTTTCGCATGTGCCCTAAAACATTTTGAACATATATGCAATAACCGACAACCGCTGTAATTACATGCACCGACATTGAAATTATTACATATTTGGGACTTCCCCAAAAACTTGATAGGTCGACCCAGTTTGTCTTTGGGTGTTCTCTCTGCTGACACAGCGGAGCTAGTGCCCTGCGAGGTGGTAGGTTCGTTCGCAGTGGTCGGACAAAAATTGGCAGTATGAGTCATGGAGGAGCAGTGTGCACAGGCCGGTGCTCTTAGACCTGCAAAGTGCCTGCAAAATATGATCGTATCAATCTTACTCCAGTTGGACCTTGTCCCGTACTGTGAGAAGGCGCCAGACACTTTGGCAGAAAAGGATCTATGGTAGTCATAGAAAGCTGACCCACCATATTTGTTGCCCAGATCAACCAGCCTGTGCATATATAAGTCAAACTCCTCACGTCTGTGGGGATATACCGTACAGATCACATCCCGATAAATGCCAAAAGCTAATACAAATTCTGGAATGGTTAGCTTCCTATTTAATCGTGCATCCCTAGATTTGACCACCACAGAAATATCGTCATAAGCGTAGGTCTTATGTTCCACTATATCCTGGGAGGCAATTAGTAGTGAGGCCAGATTGACATCTTTACCTTCCAGGATATCTCTCCTGAGGTGCTCAGGAATCATGTGGGCAGGGTAAACCTCTTGGTCATCCGAGGTGATAGCTGGAGAAACTGATTGCGACTCCACCACTGATGGGAGAATTGCCGTGGGTGGTCCAGCCATAGTGAGGGCTGTAGTGACCGATTCAAGTTTCTCCAGCCTAGAATTGACCTTGCTCATGGATGCCATGAGGGACGTGAGCATGTCATGTATGTTTCCTGGGTTGGACTGGCTCGACCCTTCCCCAGCGTCCATGTTATCGGTTGAGGTGTGTAGTAATTTGTAAAGTTCCGCTTTCCTTGCTGTTGCTGGAAAAGGGATTTGTCGTCTCCTGAGTTCGCTAGTGATGCGAGGGATAGTCCATGATCTGAAAGATGCTGGACTAGCCGTATCTTCCTCCTGTGATGGGGTGTTTGTTCTAGCCGGAGTCCTTGGGATGGAGAAATCCTCTACCCCTTCTTGAGACATACTAGATTACAAAGTATATGGTTAGCGTAAAAAACCCCAGGGGATGTACTGGCAGGCTAATTATGCCGGATGAGGCGAAAAATTAATCTTGTTCTTTGGTGACAGGTGAGGCCCTGCTAGTTGCCAAGTGGCTATGAGAGGCTCTATCTATGCGTTGGCGCGAGGGGTTATTTGAGGCCACCCGACGTAGTGGCAGGAATTCGTAGGCCTCTCGGTGACAATACAAGAAAACAGGGGAAGGGAGTGACAGGTGGCACCCTCTCTATAATTGCGAGGCGGCTAACTCACGTGTGGCCCGGGGGGCATTACCTCCGAAACGTTGAGGCGGGGTGTTGGCCTCGCGGACCACTAAACGATAGGCAGAATGCCCGGAGGGGGGATACCTATTTGGGCCTATAACCCCTAAAATTTGCCAGTACTCTATGTCCTAAGTAGAGGAGGAACCATATGTGATGTATGGCGTGAGCAGGCTTCACGTACCTGGTAGTATGTATGAGTTTGAATAAGCGATAGGTAAAGAAAACTGGAAAAAACCTAAAGGGATAGAAAACCAGATATGATAGTGTGAGAATTGGATCCTATGATACCAATTTAGACTAGTTAGCTGTGATGAGTTCTAGCAGTACATATGGAAGGGGAATTTATGAATGGTATTGGCCCGACTGGCCCTGTTATGTGGTATGGTAACCATGCTTAGGGGGTGTATGATATGTCTCTATGGTGACAAGATTAATGCGTATGATTTAGTAATGCTAGTGTTTGTAGTATGATAAGGTGCAGGATTTAAAACAATACAGTCTATTTTAGGCCGTAAACGTAAGCCATGAAAAGAGGTAAGTACGAGGTACAGAAATATTTGAGAAATTATCCCAAATTAGGAAACAACGTGACGTATGAGTGGTTGAATCAAGATGTGTGATTCAACCCGAAAGTTTGTGAGATTTTTTGAGACCGTGTTCTTGTGTACTTGGTATGTCGTTTGAGTACACAAAGAAAAAGTCAGAATATATAAGTGCCATGTAAGAAACGTGAGTACATGGTATGATAGAAACGTAATTTCTAAACATAATTAATAACCTAAATCCTACATGAAATATTTGTAAAAATGTAAAAGCTTGTTTAAGCATAACTCCATAAATATATGTATATAACAAGAAGAATGTCAATAAAACTTAATAATGCCATATCTGCTAATAGATTGAACCATAACCTAAATAAATACTTATTTATAAGTAGTTAGCAGGGGTATTGCCCCAGTCATATGCAAGGATTTCGTAATTTGCATAAATAAATGACGGTAATGACATGAAACCAACTATAGCTACTGATATTGCAGAAAAAGTTTGCTTAATATAAGAAAACCGAAACCGACATGCCTGCCGGCAGCAAAGGGGTTAATATGCCTGTGACTTGGCCGTAAAGCGTGTGGCCGTAAAGTAAGGCCGTTTTAAAATCGCGACGCCGTGGGAAATGATCCGGGCGACGGACTTACGATTTTGCAGTCCTGTGGACTTAATCTGCGACGAAAACACCGGGTATGTGCGTGGCTGAAACGGGCGGAAAACCTGTAAGGATTCCTGGACACAGCTACACCAAACGAAACCGCGGATTTTTTGAAAAGCAAGATGGCGCCGTATGTGAACCGGAAGTGGATTCTCGTGCAGCGCTGACCTCGAACGGTATGGAGCCAGGTAAGGGGTGTCCCTTAAGTAGGGAGAAGGTGAGTCATACGCCCCTCCCACAATTACAGGAGAAAAGGCCTTAATACATATGCTACAATACCTTGCACTCAAGCTTCAAAAAATGTTCTTAGCCGGGTGCACTACCAGGGCTCCAAAATAGATAGCAGAAAGTAGATGGCTGCACTCACAGTCTTCCAAGTAAAAATTTACTTTTATTACAACATTTTAAAATCAGGATCAACGTTTCAGTCCTCTCCAAGGACTCCAACATGATCCTGATGAAAGTCCTTGGAGAGGACTGAAACGTTGATCCTGATTTTAAAATGTTATAATAAAAGTTTATTTTACTTGGAAGACCGTGAGTGCAGCCATCTACTTTCTGCTATATATATATATATATATATATATATATATATATCAGCACAACATCTATCAGCACAACAATAGCTTAGCTCCTCCCATCCCCAGGTAGACAGGAAACTAATTAAAATAAGTCTATAAGTGCCATCAGTCTTTTTGTTCCAGACCTGTCCCCATATGACAAATTTTGGGCTGAAGGTCAAAACCTAAATTTTTGTTTTTCACACTTAGTTATCTATTAGAACATTGGTATTAAGTCCCTTAGTGCAACCTTTATATTTTGTGTACATATATATACATAGAAAACATACATTGCATATTCAGTCAGTTTATGATGCTCTTTGTATTCAAATGGCTTATGAGTGAAAAATATTGCTTTCAAAGATTTCATGTACTGTACATCTGACATTTAAGGGGTTAAAAGTAAGTATAATAATGCATACATTAATAATTCCTAGAAATCCCTGTATTCATTATACCTTTTAATGAATGCCCCAGGCACTAATCAAATACATGCTCAAACACACTGATGCACAAACACAAGGGTCCATTTCCAGGGGTAGATAATTTGCAAAACTCTGCCATTGGTTTCTTCTTTCGTGTCAATAAAGTAATAATGACACTCTTGGACCTATTGAATTCAATGTATAATAGATTTGATATATCTGTATAATTAGTTGTGAAATTTGTTGTAGTTATACAGTGTATTTCTTTTTAGAGGTATGGGTTTCTTAATATAATTTGCCTGACTGTAATCTTCATCTATCCCTACAGACAGCATAGTATCCTGCACCACTAGGGCAAAAACTATATGAGAGTTACATGACTGTGCATTTGCGTTGTTTGAATCATTGCATTATTAAAATATGTCCCAATCAGGAAGACATGTCCGATTGATTACAAAGACAATACATTGAACAGATATATGAAAATCACAAATAATACCAAATAAACAGTGTAACATAAACATAATGCATTGCCATTGCAGGGGAACTTCGACTTTAATAGCCATTAGAGTAATACTAGAAAACCTCCAGTTATTTAAATGTGCATATAGATTTGAAATAATGTGCAAGTAACTTTTTTTTTTTGGAGTGGATGGGTTTATTGTATGTATTGGGGCTGATGTGTACTATAGTCATTGCTGCAACCCATGAGTAATGGGAGTTTGAAGGCAGGGCATACGTTTGTGAGTTTATAAAGAAACCCATTTGAGCCTGCAATCAAGTTATATCTTGTGAGTGCAATAATACCACCAGTGTTTCATAGAGTCTGCAGTTCTATACTATTATATGTATTTTGCCCCCAAATTGTATATTTACTATATTACTGAAATCATCCCATCTATTTATACCCTCAACAGCCTCATTTACATACAATGTTACAGTTGTATGCAAAGTTACCTTTCAGGTAATCCACTAAAACCTTATCCCAAGCAGTACAGTGAACCCAAGTCAACCAATAGCAGTATGGACTTGGGATAGCAACCAAATACACTACTACATTTAATTACATTATAACTAGTGTAAATGGAGTACTTTGGTTACAAGGAAGAATGGGGACAGACAATAACAAGGAATGAGGAACACATAGGAGATTTGAAGGAGTGACAGCCCAGCTACTTTATACTAGTCTAGAAGTATCCCTGGAATAATGGGACAATGCCCTGCTGGGAAAGCAATGTATAGGGGGAAGGGGGAAAGGTGCATACAACCAGGACAATCAATACATTCACTTAAATTCGAGCCACATCCACCATTTTAATCCAGATGACAACCAGTTGAAAGTTGGGAAATCATTTGTTACACTAGTAAGTTTGGAGAACATGGTAAGCCCATGCCAGGGAGAAGATCCCAACTGCCCCCCTACACCCACCTGCCTAAAAACAGAACCCCTTTCTTGACCAAGGCCCATAGTCAGTGGGGAAGAGGCTGGCACTTAGTCCCCTCCTGGTGCCTGGGTAATGGAGGCTTCTGTTACATACTACAGTCACTGTTGCCACCTAGGAGTAGTGAGAGTTTGAGCACAGGGCATTATTTTGTATGTTATTTGCTTTTGTAGTACGTAGCCAGGCAACAGTGCTGCCTGCCACCCCATGTACTCTTTATTAAGGGTTAATAAGTGTGTAGGGGTTTAGAAAATGAACACTCTCTGTCTCATTAGATATCTTGCCATTCAGTTTAAAGATGCAAGGTAAAATGGTATTATACTACTCACCAACAAAGTTTTGCCTTGATGTGTCAGGTGAGCTTACACTTTAATGGCTATTGGAGTTATACGAAAAAAAAAAAAAAAAAACCTCCAGTTGTTTAAATGTGCATAGGGATTTGGGAAAGTGCGCAAATAACTTTTTTTATTTTATTATAACAATAAAGCAATCTTCTGGGATGAAGCTCTTATAACACACCTCAGAAAAAAAGAAGGATAAACAATAGTGCAGATCGCTTAAGAAATTAATAACAGGTACATAAGAATACTATTTCCAACTTCCAGCATGCCAAAGTAGCTCTACATCATAGACAGTGGAGTCAAGAAGGGGTGATTCCTTCTGTCCTCTCTCCAATCCAGTTAATCTAGTGGTGCCAAAAAATAAATTTTTAATGTGAAAAATTATGCCTCCACATTGCTGTTCAAAGGGTGGGCTAACAGGCAAGTATTTGCAACACGACAGAGGCTGCTGAGTAAACTGCTAAAGCAAGCTTATATTCTAGGGACCCCTAAATTAGTACAAGGGGTTACATCTCCACCATGCATGCGACTGGCAGCAGTGACTGCTCTCTGTAAAATAAAATTGAAAAAACAAAAACCCAACAAAAAGCTAGCTGTCAGAAGTTTCTGCTGCCCAGTCACTTTTAATATGCAGGGAGGACCTGGTACTAGTCACCCCATGGCCCCACCAATGGTTAACGGTGTGAGTTTCAAATTAAAGAATGATGGATGCGCAAATTACTTTTAGCCTCTTTTTTTCCAATCCATGGCCACCGGGTAAAGGCTCCATTAACATAAAATGGGGGGTGGGGGTGGACACCCTAGTGTTTCCTTATTCCCTAATGCCTCCTTAATGGAGCCAGTTAATTATAAATTACATGGAGCCTGCCACCATCTATATTAGCAGCTTATGGCTCTAATAAAAATAAATGGAGATTTTCTATTGCCCCCCACATCCATGGGCTGTAATTATTATAATAAACCAAGTGGGACATAGAGCCCCCCAACCCTCACCCATTGGCTCGAATTATTATAATAAACGGTCATAGTATCCCCCAGCCCCTACCAATGGGCAGCACATGCAGACTGAGCTTGCATGGTAGGAAAACACCATAAGGGCTATCCCACACTATGCAGTCTCTGTCATAGCACTATGATTGCCCAATTACTAGTCTTTTATAACAGGATTGTTCATTAAAATAATTGATAAATGTACTTCTAAAGCAGGTGACTCATTTATCGGGTGCAGCTATTAGAAGTGCAGAATTTAATAAAAGTATCAGCCGTATCCAGGCAATAATTTTAGACTGTGTTTTGCCAACAATATTGAATTGAGGCCTCTGTTCAGTGCTCTACTAAAATATATATAAATGAGCACAAATACACACACAGAATGTGTTTTTACTTATCTGTATACAATCAACAGTATATCAGACAGATCTGTTATGATCTATGTCAGAATGGCACAATATAAATATTTAATAGCTTCTTTTTTTATGAGAAACATTTCAAATATCTGAAGGTTGTTCACCAGTTCACCCTTGCATGAAATCTCAGGCTTAGGTTGTTTATTTATTTTAACCACTTTTAATAAGTATGTCAGGGCATTCAAGAAGTAATTCTGAACGGGCATAATTAATAAATCTACAAAATATCAGATGCTGATCAGATATAGTAAAATAATGTGCTACAACAAAAGTAAAACTGTAGAAAAACTGCACAGGAATGTGTACTCTAACATTAATTGAAAATATTTAAATATAAATAAAATCAATTGCATATGCAATGATAACTATGTGTCTGTAGTCTGACTTCCCCGCTGACCCACTCGGTATGCCAGAACATGGTGTGGAAGAATGCTTTTCTGTCAGGTCAAAGCTGTCATGTCTAAAGTGCTTTTGTATCTACTCTGGCTGCATCATTTTTTTAATTGGCTTACATCCATTCTCTATCCAACTACAATTTAAAAATATTTACACTTTAGACATTTGTGCTTGTAGCTTTAATTTGAGAAGTGATCCACTGGTTTATATTGCAAGTCAAATCAGCTTAAAATAGTACTAATTACAATGATAAACAAATAATACACATATCATATCCGTTTTTTCAAACATGATTTAAGGAAATGTGATGAGTCTGAGTTCTGCTTGTAAACACATATTTTCCCTTAGGCCAACAATCACTGGGTTTTAAAGCAAGCTGAAAGGGAAAGAGGGAAGATTCCGTTACGTGTTTGTTTGTTTTTTGAAGGGTTTTGTTTTAGTTTTTTTATTGAAGATTTCAAAAATACTGACAATAATACATACAATAAGCACCATAATACATGTTATAAAGGTTAGATGACAACGCATATTGATAGTTACTTGCAATAATGTATGACATATACATTAGGGTAGCAAAGGGCAGCATTCATGAAAAGTATAATACTACTGCATTGCACAATAAAATATGGTAATTTGTTTAGTGGTGCAATAAACTTAAAATAAAACAACCAAAAGTAAAAAGCAAGAAGAGCGTTTATTTCAATCATTTTTACTCAACCCAACTAAGAAAACTGTGGCTTACATTATTTTGATAAGTCTTCTGAGACAGAATGTAGGAATGAAAAGTAATTATAACCAATAAGATCTTGGAGGTTGAGGTTGAGATTAACTCCAATGTATTAAAATAGGTGGTAGCAAATTTGAAAGGAAAAGAGGACTGAAGGATACATAGTGGTCCAGGTACAGTTATGGGAAGCA